CACCTTGATCTCAGCAGTAGGTGATCTGATGTAAGTGTAAAAGATCTCAGCTCCCAATTGATGCCAATTGGATCGTTCTGCGGCGCGTAATTCTTGCACTGCCGCCCAGTAACCGATTAATCCTTGACTAGCAACCTGTTCCAGAAACTGAGATAGATATCGTCGACCGGTCACATTATCCAGAATCGTTTGCAACGGAAGTACTCTGCCCTCCGTGATTTCCGTCGCGTTACATATATCATCTGAATCCTAAAAAAATATTATGAAATATTGTCATGTTATCGTAATTAACATGAATACGACTTTCTACCTGACGAGGATATCCATCCCATCCCAATGTCTGCATGTGACACTCGCACGTATTCTTAGCGTATGTCAGTTGACTGATATACCTCTTTAACTTTCTCGCTCGAATGGCATCAGAGTTTCCCAGAGCGTTATTTTCAGGATCCAAACCTTGAGCTCGTTTTACGTTTTGCACCGTGGTAGCTTGCATAATCTCGGTAACGATATTATATCTAATATGTTTAAGAACTTCTAAATCCTTAGTGCTTTTGACCATCCGGATAAAATCTTCGAACGATTCCGCATATTCGTACGTTTTCCTGTGCATCGCTTCAGCAAGCTGCTGTTGATCAATGTACGTCAGGATCTTTTGATTGATATAATCGGGATCCGTGATTAAATCTATCGCTGGTTTTAGGACTGAAAAAAAAAACAAAAAAGAGAAATAAGTCATGTAACTGATAATTTTCAAAAAAATGCTTACTTTTGCATGTGAGAACTTCTCTTAAAAGAAATTTTACTGGAGAAAGGGAATAACTGCGTGGTAACAAAAACAAAATATAAAGTTCGCTAATCTTTCTTAAGTATTCCAGCTCAGCCACAGGAGACATCAAATGTGCTGACAAAATAAATACAGGGTCCTCTCCCTCCGACCTAAATTAAACAAATAAATCAAGTTTCTCATCTTGTTTCTCATTTTGAACACACTAATGAAAAGAGATGCTTACGAAGCCGCTTGAGCTATCCGGATCTTCTCGAAGTGAAAAGTGAGCTTATTCACTATACTGCAAACCACTAGTTTAGTGTGATCAACATGCGATAAGCGATCGTGTAAGCTTTGTATCGCGCCCCACACATCCTGTTTCATATTATTTATCAGCTGTTCGGAGCCAAAGGCCAAATCGTTCAGCCAGAAACCGACAAAATCTTGAAAGATCAAATCTAAAAGATTCTGCAGAGCACCGTCCACCAGACGTGTGAAAACAACAGGATAACGTGTGTGTTTCCTAGTGCTGGCTGATTTAGGTTCATATCCTTTCTGGAAAGCCAATAATCAGGAATGAACAATGATAATCATTAGGCCTGTTTTTTCCAAGTGAACTTTTTGCATTCATTTTTTTTTCCTTTTCTTTTTAATAAAAAAAGAAAAAAAATGAACGATATAAGAAATTCAGTTAAAAAGAATTGCAGGCCTATTTGTTGAGCTTTTCATTTGTTAAGTTGACACAAGTCTCGTTTTGTCTTTGTTATTCATGGAAGAAAGAAAGACATTTATGCCTATTTGCGAATAAGTAAGTACGAACAAGCCCAGTTCTTCAACTATAAGATTAACTATAATCTTAATTTAATTCACTATTTATCTTTTTCTAATTTTTAAAATTAGAAAAACATACAGAGTAAATTGAATCGAGATTGAAGTTAATCTTATGATGGAACTAGGCCTAAAGCATTCTATTCTATTTAAACTCAGTTCCATCAACGTAAGATTACCTTAATCTCGGTTCAATTTACGATTTATATTTTTTTCTAATTTTAAGAATTAGAAAAAGATAGTCAATAAATTAAACAGAGATTCAGAAAAAATAAAGAGTAAATAAAACTGAGATTAAAGTTAATCTTACATTAATGGAACTGGATTTAAATGGAAAGTATTCCATATCGATCCATATGCATCGTGTTTCAATTGTACCATCAACATATTGTGGAAGGCGTCCACTTCTGCAATAGTTCTAACAGTTCCAGTGCCAGTTTGGTGTTTAGGCGACAAAGCTATGTTGATCAGTATCATGATTAACGGGCCGATAAGCAAGCAGGAGCAAGTTAATACAATGTAGAGAAAACAACACTGGATATAGGTCCAGTCCATAACAATTCCCAGGCTCATAACGGCCAATGACATAACGCCAATGACAACGAGAGAAACCATGGCTCTCTTTTTAATACAATTGTATTAAAATAGACGATGCAAGATAACAGTATTTATATCAGTGAACATATACACCCAACGATACTTTTTAATCTCGCCGCGCTGATAACATAGAACAGTACCGAGAGCTTCGCCATTTTTAAATGTCGAGTGTTTCGCACTTTGCGCCGAGACTACGGTCCTCTTGCGACGAGATATAGAAACTAAAATTAAACTACTTGATCACAGCTGGTCAAGTGATCTGCATCTTATTCGTGGTGTATAATGCAGATGTATGATTGCACCGATTATTTTCGGACTTGCAATACAAATTCTGAAAAATATTCCCAAAGTAATCGACACACAATCATAATAATATATATTGTTAAGGAAAAAGTCCCTTTATAAGTTGGTAAAAAAACCTTCCCCATCAATAGTCATTAAAAATGATCAAAATTTAAATTTGAAATAAGGATTTTAAAAGTTTAAAGTCTCTATTTTTAAAAGCTTATTATATTTTTTGAGTTTTGTAATATTATGTGAATTTTATAATTTTAACATATACAAAACTACGTGAGCTGAAAAATTTTGTTCTCACTTTATATGTCTGTCTAAAAAAAATTTGA